AACGAGCCGAGGTCGATCGATTTTTCCCCTTTCAGTTCTAAAATCGATTAAATGAATTAGGATGGTGATCAATCATCTAACCCTAGGTTAAGCACAACTCGAAAAGATTGAGCAATTAATCATACACATAAACAAAATTGAACCGGATCGATTATCCCCTAACCCTAGCTATTGGATTAGCTACTCATCACAATATCAACACAAGCATTCACCATAAAAGAAGCCATCACATTCATGTATAAGATGAAAAGAAAATCTTACGATTAATACCAAATCCAAAGTCGATGAAACACGAGCAAATCGAATCCAAAGCTAGAAAATGAGTTTTTATCCTTCAAAATCCAATCCAAGATGAAAGATTCAAGGAACGATGTGTTTGTGGTGAAAAACTATCAAAAACGAGGTCTGGGAATGAATAAAATCCGTCCCCCATTTGATCCCTTAAGCCTTTCTATTTGAAATTCCGAGAAAAAAGCTTCAGTTACAAAACAGGCCATAGCGGCGCTTTCCCCAAACCGCCGCTAAGGGAGAAAATGGTCGGGCTGCAGCCCATCGCTATGCTACGTACCGCCGCTAGCTGAATTGGCCATAGCGGCGCTATGGCCATAGCGGCGCTATGACCTGGGCAGCTTTGCGCGTCGACTTTGTTTTTGCTCGTACGGGCTCGTTCGGACTCGGAATTGAGTTCCGTTTTTTCCTACACGTCGCTAACGAGCCCCTCTTTCTAATGGTATCAGCCTCGCAATAGATTCTCGAAAACCTGTTCCTCCGGGGTCTCCAAACTATGCACCAAAAATGAAAAGAAAACAGAAAAAGACCAGAAAACAAACGGAAAACACTGAAATACTCAAATGAATGCAAAACACAAAATAAACGACAAAAAGATTCTAAAACTACCTAAACAACTCAATATGGGGGAAAAAGAACGGTAAAATAATGACAAAAAAAGGACACAAAAATGGGACAAACAACCTTCTGTGCAGTCACCCGGGAGAGTACCATCTTGCAGGTACTGTTGATAGGGCATCCAAATGAAGTGTAAAAAAAAAAAAAAAATTAGGAATTAAGAAACAAAAAAGTTATAAACAAAAAAGAAAGAAGGATAAATTAATAATTAAGACATAAGAATCTTACATCTGTCTCTCGCAGCCCTGTCAACTAATCCCGGATCGCGGCCAGTCCCTTGCCTACATCTTTTAGACTTTTTCCTCCCACCCACCTTAAAAATGACAAAAAAAAAGTTTGTAATCACAATTTTGGAATGAGACTCATGCATCTCGTGGCCTTCTTTTGTTCTTGTTCGAACAAATTCAAAGTTTTATCCAATGTGGCCTGTACCAAAGCTCTGCACGGCAAAAACCTAACGCCTTTCAAAATGTTGTTGTAGCTCTCCGACATATTGGTCGTCAATGTGCCCCATCTATGTCTTTCTTCATCACCATACAGGGTCCACTTGTTCAAAGGAATATCGAAGAGGTACTTGTGTGCCTGGGGATTAAATTCCAACAGTCGCTGTTCTGTCGCTCGAAACTTTTGCTCCGACAATTGTGAACCCAAATCCCAACACCAATCACGCACTTTCTTATTCTTAAAGTTAGTGACCACGTTGCTTTGAAGGTGTCGAAGGCAAATCCGGTGATATGCAGCGGGTTCTTGCCAACCAACCAACGAGTCAATGGCACTTAGTATGCCGTTATCCCTGTCGGAGAGAACACAGATCTGTCGGTCGAACACAACATATTGCCGCACATTTGTAAGGAAAAAGGGCCAGCTATCCTTGCTTTCTTCATCAATAATCGCATAGGCGATTGGCAATAGTCGCTTATTCGTTGTCTGTGCTATAGCCACAAGCAATTTCCCCTTGTACGATCTGCGCAAATGTGTGCCATCGATGCTAATGACCAGGCGGCATAGTTGGAAAGTCTGAATGGCGGGACCACCCAGAATACAAAATTGAATTGTCTGTCTCTATACTGATGCGCCATTTTCCCACCCTGCCATTCCCACTGCACAACTGTGGTGGGATTCGCTCTTTGAAGCGCGGCAAAATACCTTCAAATTACAAAAAAGTTTCATAAATAGATAAACATTGTGACAGACAAACAACACATGTATTTTTAATTAATTTTTTCATACCGAGGGAGTTCTGCAAAATTCGATTCCCAGCAGCCATACACACGCTCGATGGCTTTTCTCCTGCCGTGCCATGCCTTCTTGTAGCTTACATCGACTTTCCAACATTGTTTCACATCGGCTTGGATCAATGTAACGTTGTAGTCCATTTTTTTTCAATCTTGTTAACTACAAGATTTGAAATCATACGGGCGGTTACGTTTCTGTGGTCATTTCTTTCAACCTGTTGCATACAAGTGTGTCTGTCAGTCCATTCAGTTAATTCCCACATTTCATGAACCCGTTTCTTAGTCACTCGAACC